TCGGGCTGCGCCTGCTCACTTTCACTCGCCGCCCAGACTACGCTCGGTGACCGGGCGGTCGCCGCCCGGTCGCCGCTGGGAGATCAGTCGGTCACTGGACAGCGAGTCCAAAATCGGTCGGCAGCCAGCGGCTTTGATTTTTGACCTAAATCGCTCGGCGGCGAATGCTCGATTTGTTCGGTGCCCGGGCGACGAACGGCCGGGCACCGAGCGTATTTTGGAGCCCCGCCGATCACTGGCCGGCCGCCGTGCAATATCTTTAAAATCAGCCGGCGGCCGGTGGGAGACTGCTCGGGAATCGGTGGGTCACCGGTCGGTCACTGCCGGGACACCGCGCGGAAAAGGTCCGCGATTTCACCCAGTTTTGACCTAAAATCGACCGGCGACCGAAGGGAAATCGACAGGGCACCGCCCAGGCATCGCTGGGGCTCTACAGCCTGCTCGACTTCTCCAAAAAAAAAAAAAATCGCTGGGCGATGCCTAAATTCCAGCGGCGACCGAGCAGGCTACTAATCGGTCGGTCACCGCTCTGATTTGTGACCATAGCTTAAGGTCTGACATAGACGTCCGCTATTGCTTAAACAAAATGGTATTTTTTCTTTCATTTTTAGAGCAAACAGGTTTAAACTGCATAGGAAAAGAAATGATGCGCATAGTGGACAAACTTCTATAGGGGAGTCTGAATAGCGCCATCTATCAATGCTCATGGGCTTTATTTATTTTAAAGCCACATGCCCAGTGGATAGGGAACTATCCCCTCTCTTCTGACATGTCTGGCGTCATACCACAAATGAAAGTTGAAACAAATAATGTAAAATCATTGTAAAATGATAGTTAGAATGTTATTTGGAGGTGTGTGTGTGTGTGTGTGTGTGTGTGTGTGTGTGTGTGTGTGGGGGGGGGGGGGGGTGATGGACGCTTCATTTTTCAAAACAGTAACCAGTTGAGTTTTACTTAAGCGGGCATTATCAGCTGGAGAGTGAGAGCCCATGACGGTAATTGGCTTTTTAGTAACTCATCATCATCATCATCATCACCACCATCATCATTATCACCACAGTCATCGTGATCATCATCATCATCATCATCATCACCCCCTACATCACCAACATTATAGCTATCGCTGTACCAGAACAAAAAATTAAAATGTTTATGATAATAAAAGGGCGGGACATTTCTATTTAATCCGTATTTCAATCTTTCAAACGTTCTGTTGCCGTGCCAGGAATGAATTATTAACCCAATAAATTATGATTAATCTAGAACAAAATCATTTTAGACCAATTTCAGTAAACCCCTAACCGATATACCTGTCAATTAGTCAACCTATTTCGCGAACGTTTCCGATATTATTAATGAACCAATCCAGCAATTTTTTTTTACTCCTCCAGTGTACCATCCCATCAACAATTTCCGAAATAAATCTGACCATACAGCTTACAGCATCATCAATAATTCATTTATTTTAAATTCATACATCTGACATGTACATGTAAAGTAAGCAGTGGTGACAAAAAAAAAGAGGAAAGAGAGAGAGAGAGAGAGATAGAGAGAGAGAGAGAGAGAGAGAGAGAGAGAAATAGAAGGATAGAATAATATTAGATGTTGATATTATTCACTAAAGGAAGTTTTAATATTAGGTTGAAATCAAGATTGCAACAACTTAACATCACACCAGACATCAATAAATGGCGACGGACACGTTCATTGTCTTTTCCTTTTTTTGGCAAAAACGAGCCAATAGGTTAATATTTATTGCCGTTGTGGTAAAAATGAAAACTTAAACTGAAACAATAAATTGAACAATTGACAACACACACATCAGGAGGGTTAGACATTCCTTCACACTGCTTCATCCAGAAAATATTAATTAAGAAAACAACCGAAAAATAACAGTTTAGGAGAGAGACTACGAGTGCACTGATTCTAAATAAAGCTATACCGAGAGACTACATCAATTTACATATTTTTTCACTCAAAGGTTGACCTCGTATGGAAGGTTTTGAATTAGCTTAACAATACAATTTCAGACATTAAATGATCGTTTTTAGTCTTCGTTGAAATTCAGTTGCTATCTACGAGTACATCAGACGATGCACCGACACTGCAATGCGATAGTTTAGTACTTTCCCCCATACATAATCTGGTTTAATGACGTGGTTATTAGGTTAACACTAAGGTAATTAAAATGAAAATTAAACTGGTTTAACTATACTTACTTATTGGGTTAATACTTTTATAATGAAACTGCATCCTGTACCTTATATCACTCGTAAAAAGAATTGCTTTTATGTAATGATAAAATAACTAAAGATTCGTCAATTAAACGATTGCAACCAATAAGATACATTTTACAGGTTATTTAGCTCGAGCACACGTTGTACTTCCTCATTTCTTCTTTAAATTGGCGAAATAAATCAGTTAAAGTACTAAATGAATAATAACATTAATTTAATTATCTTGGTTGAACAACTCTTTCTGTTGATTCTTTCAGAAATCATCATCGCTTTTTACCATTTCGGTAAATATGAATTTGATCATTTAGAACATGTTCACGGTCAATACGTTCAGTTTAAACTATTGATTGATCTTGTATAGCATTGTTTATATTTGTTCTATTAGGATATTACATGTGATTGCATAAAGGAGACATGGAAATAATCATGACGATTAAATCAATTCTAAAAATGAATATAGCTTTATATTCCGACCTTGCGCTCATAATATGACGCATGGACTTCTCTAAAAAGGCTCCCCTAAGATTGATAATAAAAGGAGAGGATAGGAAACATGTCGCGATCGCTTTTCATAAGTCTAGGTCATGACAAGGCCCAATCTCGCATTGTTATAAACAAATCAATTTTCATTTCTAGCTCTGGACAAGTTCCCATTTAGCGGGCTGTCACCTGCAAGCTCCCGCCGAAGCTCCCCGCAAAAGGCCGTGGTAATGAATGGGCAGCTCCAGCTTGTCTGCGGCTAAAAAGGAGATATTTCAAAGCAATGCCACCGCAAATTGAATCTTGAATCCGGGCTCATTTCGAATGTGTCAAATCTGGAAAGTACTGTCATGTCGGGTTGACCTTTTTGCGGTCTCTGTTGGAGCACCAACGCACTTTGTTACGTGTGGGACTTCGAGGGAGTTTACGAATTTTTCTTAAACTGAATGCGCCAAATGCCTCAGCTTTTATCCGGATTGCATTTAAAGCTACGCAATACCAACTTAAATCCCTGAATACTTCAACGTAAAATATCAAATAGATTGTTCTTAAAAGGTAATCAAGCAACAAAATCAATCAGTTTCCTTAATTACTTCCAGTATAAGATGAAATATCACGAGAAATCACTTTTCTATTAGATTCCTGTAAGAGTGCATGAGTTTATTCTTTGAGCTGAAAGTAAATTATTTTTGGGGGTCCAAACTCTGATGATAATCAAGCATATCTATAGTTAAATTCAGTAAAACATTTACATTTTTTAGGAGAAAAAACCCCAAATTTTCTCGTATGAACTTGAATATTTTTGAAAGCATCGTTGGTGTTTGGTTATCTGTTAAACAGTTTGTACAATCGAAATGCTCCAAGTCCTTTCTTTCATAACCTCATCCTACATCATTTAATTTCTATTTTCATCTTCATTCCAGACGAGGATGAAAATAAAAACTTCTGTAAAACAAAAGAGATCCAATTTATCGTAAACATCGACTAAATTTAACAAAGAAAATATTCGCTTTGAAAGCATAATCATAGGCAATGTGCGAGTTCATGATGGAGCGATTGATCTCGAGAGCGGAAGCACGTGATTCTTTGCTAATCGCATTGAATTCTGGGAATGATCTGCAAATCATTGACAAAGGTTACGACACGTATGTGACTCGTGTATTAAGGTAGCATTGTCTTCTGATAATGACGTATAGAAGATAAATCAAATGATATCAATCAAAAATTAATATCTACAGTACAGTAAAATTACATCCTTAGAAGATTGTATATCTGCTTAGTGGAGGGGGAGGGTAAGTTACTCTTCTGTATTTGTCATTTTCAATCACAAGATTATCAACAAGATTTGTCTTTGATATTCCAAATGTTTGACATGCAGCCAAGATACAGAATACGATGGTTTATATCAACAGTGATTATGACAGAGATGAGACACAATTTCTCATTATTTACTCACGTACATGTATACATTTGGAAGCATGCATTGATTTCCACCTTTTCACGAAGTATAAAACTCAGCCTATCCACACGTTACATCATTTAAGTTGCATTGCATATATTCACAGCAATACAATTTCAGGGGCCCGGCCTCATCTTTACAGTCAAATACACTTTTTCCTATAAAGTTGAATTAAAATTTCCTCACCCGTTTTCATGGAATTTAAATATAACAGATATCTTTTCAGAATCTCAAAGACCAGTCTCTTTCTTTGACTCTTTAAATTTATCATTAAACTTCTGAGAATAATTTTGTTTATATCAAGGATAAACCAAATTGTCACAATCCTCTCATTAAAAGAGGAAAACAAAAAATAAAATCCAACTTTTATGAGCAAAAGTATTTAACGACGTTTCTCATTATTTGGTATTGAGCACTCTACCCACAACGTTCGCAATACGTTCGCAATACGTTCGCAAAACGCCCGAGGCCGTAAGAACGTTTATATAACGTTGCATTTGCATTCCCTGGGTTTAAAGAGCCAGATGAATAATCACGTGGTTCAATTGCTAGTTCAAAAAATATAATGGGTTCGGAGAGATATACCGCTTTGTTCGACATGCAAGTTTTTTCCGGTAAAACTTTGATCAGTGACTCTGCAGGACACATACTTCTATAGAAGAATAGCCAGTGTTTTTTTTAAATCATGATAAATGATGTAAAGATAATAGCATAAGCCTAGAAAAAGCGGCCTTACTGGTTTCAATGTATTGGACCAAGAATACAAAGTTATCTATTTGTTACAATGGCGCTCGTATGTATATACTCATGACATAGTATTTTTATTTTCATTGTGAATACATAAGTGGAAACAGGTTTCAATTTGCATCGAATAACAACAACTTAAGAACTAGCACCTCGTACTTGAACACCCCGTTTCTCTGTGTAAAGAGGGAAGAGAGCAAAAAGTTTGGTCTTTAATATTCAAGCTCATGAACTTTTAGAGGCATTCATATTTATACACAGGATAATCGGGCTCGTATTTACTGAAGGAGAGAAATACATTCAATAAATTAGCTTGCATAATATACAATTTTCACATAAATATATAAAATGGTATCAAAAATACATCTGTGAGATTCTTCGATGTCATCAGCTGACGCCACAAAAATACTACAGTGAAACAAAGTCTCTTGTATTTGTTAATCAGCATCTTTTGGCGAGCTCCGATAGTTACTCTCGAAGTCACAGAACAATCAAGCCATCCCTCTGTGTATATTTGGTTTCAATAAAATTACATTTCGCTAACTGCATTTACATACTGTTTTGTCATTGATGAACGAACACTTGAAAGTCATGTACGAAGCATTTTCATTTTCATAGTTGCTTACAAAAACTAAAACGTCTTTGATAGTTAATTTATGAGATATAAATTATGTATAAAAACACAAAGTTAAAAGATAGATATCATGCAGCCATCATTACGTATTTGGATGCTCCGAACCAAGTCTTTTGTACTGTGCTAGTCTATGTCCAACATTCCGCTCAGGATAATCTTGTTGCCTCAGTGGGTCCCTCTCTGACCCTGTGGTGTCTTCAACAGCAGCGTCGGAGACCACTCGTAGCACCCGCGGGGTTCCGGGGTTGGAAGGAGATGCCGAACCGCTGCCTTCAGCAGGAGGTGGAGCAGGGGGAGCGCTCCTGCAGGCCTCCTCTCTTTTGAGATCCGTCTCCAGGTGATTGCTCTTCCGATGCTCGTTCTCATTCGAGTCTATTTTACCATTGCCGAGGTGAGTCAGCAGGGTGGTTGTTGTACTGTACTGGAGAGTTCTTTCCCGCAGGAATCTCTGACGGCACATCAACCGCTTGAACGCGTTTCGAAATTCGCGATTGGTGGCGTAGATCAGCGGGTTAAGGCTACTGTTTATCCAGCCCAACCAGAGAACTGTTTGGAAAACACTATCGCTTACGCAATGAGGGCAGAATGGAAGTATGCAATTGACTACAAAGAATGGCAACCAACAACAGATGAATACGCCCAGGATGGTGCCTAGAGTTTTTGCAGCTTTGTGCTCACCGCGTTGATTGGAGTCCATCGGGGTGTTGTGGGTCCTAATGAGCTTCTCCTGCCGCCGAGCCTCGCGAAAAATCCGTGCATAAATCGCGATCATGATGGAGGAGGGGATGTAGAAACTAATGCACGAGCTGATCACAGCGTAATACGGGTTGAGAAGAAATACGCACTGCGGAGGATCCATCTCTAGCGAGTTTTGACTACCCGGTACGGTGTGGATGTTACTGAATACTGGTAAGAATGAAAGAACGAAAGAAAGAATCCAAGCGACAGCAATCATGATCAGTGCGGTTCGTTTGGTCATTTTCTCTTGGTACTCGAAAGGCTTCGTGATGGCCCAGTACCGATCCACGGCTATGACACATAGATTCAAAATAGACGCTGTCGATATCATGATGTCCAATGCAGTATGGACCCTACAAAAGAATCCGAAAGGCCAGTAGCCGATCGTGTATGAGACAGCATTCCAAGACATGACGAGACACGCGACGGAGACATCGGACACAGCTAATGAAACAATAAACCAACTCGTCTTCTTCACGCGCAGGCGCCTCCACGACATCACGGCCGCAATCACCAGGATATTGCCGAACGCCGTTGCCAAGGTGACAACAGCCAGTGCCATGCCAGCCCCAATTTCCGTGGTTTTGACGGCGATGGTTTCGTTTGTGGTGTCATTGGTGTCCCCGAAAAAGTCTCCGTAGGATGCAGTGGATCCATCCATGGTGGTATCATCCATTGCGTAGGCACTTCTTGAAAGATGTAGCTCCAGGCGTTGATCTCCCATTACAGGTTATTCCTTGATCAGGCTAATCATCCACTACGACGAGCAGCGAAGATAGCCGATTCAATTCATCGTGACGTTTCCCTTTCTAGCAGGTGTATGACTGCTCTCGGGTGAAATGGAAGAAGTCAGCGAGCAGATCGAGCACTTTCAGATGTTTGAATTCGTTAATACTGATGTTTGCTGTCCGTTAACGCAATCAGAGCTTGGTTGATTTTACCGCAAAGACGTCTCAATGTGTACTTATAAGCGACGTATCAGTTGAAGTGTGAAATCTACCAGTCTTTTCCAGTTTCAAGAGCTTGTATAAAGTGAGCGTTGCCAACCGTCTAGATCGTCCTACAGGCGGCACCAACTGAACTCTTTAAAAAGGACGAACCTCCTTCTCAGACCTGCAGATGAAAAAGGGGAAAATGGAGAAAAAAGAGAAGGTTGTGAGTTGAAATCTGCCGTGTAATGTTAAACCGATGTTAGACGCGGGGACAGTAATGAGATAGAGCGTGTTACTTGCGGCTATTGTGAAGAGTGCGAATTGAAACTGATGAGAGCTGGCAAAGAACGTTCAAATAGACAGCTCTGTTTGGCATTCGTATCCTCTGTATTAAGGAAACAGCTGAAATATAGCTCCCATGATACGGGCAGATGCCCTGCTATGACCTCAAGGGAAACGCATCGTGAGAAAAGAGTACATTATCGACTTCACGAAGCTTAATGCTATACCCTAATCATTAGCTTTAACATTGTGAATATTTAAGATAATCTGTGAACAAAACAATACCAACATTTCGTTATCAATTCATGTTTTAGAAAATCAAATGAAACAGCTAAAGAGTTTATCGCCAACATCATCTACCTTCCTATAGCATGTTCCCCATGAAGAAGACAAGACAAGTGTATACGTTCCGTTCTGAACCACACGGAGTGTTACTCTATTGTGGCAGTAGTTAGGTGCACTTCGACAACCCTTTCCTTAACAAAGTGAAAGAAACGCTCATTGCGAGAGGCAACTTGGGGAGATGCAAGAAGACAGGAAGCTTCTATTCTGTTTGGCTAAGCCGTGTTATTAACGCGCAGTCGCTCCAGGCCTATTCATAAAGCCCTTTCTCTCCCATCTATTCCCGTCCTCTCTCCTTCTCTCGCATCCTTCTCGTACATTTCACTTTCTTCTTCGTCTTGTTTTTACCTCTCTCTAGAAATCCATATATATCTGGTGTTACCTACGATAAATATATTTCTACTTACTTTCCGTATCCTATTGCAATGTTAAAGTTTTTTTTTTTTTTGGGGGGGGGGGGGGGGGAAGGTGGTTAAAATGTGTGAGTACAATGCTTAGACTTACAATCTTGTTTACCATGATTTTTTGTAAAACATTTTCCTAAAGACCTTCAGTTGAGCGTGTTTTTGAACTCTTCAAAACAATAAGCGATGTACCATTTAGGATTGCCGTTTCCAAAAACTCTACCTTCTACTATTTTTGGATATCCGACGAGTTTCTCTCAGAATAGTAATTTCTGTAGAATATACAAGTATGAGCTTACGTATCGCTTATATTCGTACACATTTCACATTCATCTTACATCCAGTCTCTATATACTCCATATATTTCATCTTCATTTGCTTTTTTATATCTCAATGCCAATCTTTTTTTTTGTGTTATTCTGTCTTTTATTTCTCACACTCTCTTCCAATCTTCTTATTATCCCAGTATGCATACGTCACAATTAAGGTAATTTTGTAAATTGGATCGGTATGAGTCAAGGAACCAATCTACGCTTGATACAATTAACCAAATCTTTAATGTATTTGCCTTTGTGTTGCTACTCTTAAGAAAACATCCCAAAATTGATTATTTATTTCCCCCTTCGCGACACACTTGATCGATTAATCCTGTTGAACATTCGCATGTTGCCTGAAGAGATGAATCAACAAGCGTCAATCAAATTAATAAGAGCAATTTCCACTGACAGAAACAAGTTCTTTCCACCGCTTTGAGAGGCACAAAACGTATAGAAATAGATACAAATAAATGCATACTGACAAATGAAAGCACAAGTTATAGTTCAATACATACTGAAGTGTATCACACTTGTATTATTCAACCATTTGGGGAGGCAATGTCATTTTCGATTTTTCAAGCAGCCATTTCAGAAGTATTGCCTCGAACATGTAAAGTCTCAACATTCTCAACACAGCATTCTTACATGTATATATACATTTTGATGGATATGTTAGTTATACAATATGAATCCTAAACGCAAAGATAAATTTAGAAAAGGATTAACGAAGTAGTAGTTTTAATCCTGTAAACACAGGAAAAGCAAAGTCTGAAAAGAATTGTAGGCAGCTCATGAAATCGTGATGCAAATCGCTCTCTTCATATTAGTTGCAGACACTCGCAGTAATCAAATTTGAATGACACATTCGACATTTTTAAGTGATTTAGTCGATGCGAACCGTAATTGTTTTTCCTACCTCGCATTCGTGAATCTACATCTTTATCTACGAAATCGTTCGATGCACATTTCCTTGCTTCCACATCCATGTTTATGTCATTGCGATGTTGTACAAAATGCACAAAATGTCATTAATGGAATACTAGGGTCATTGTGCTAACGTTTCCACTGAAGCTGTAAACAACTGCCATCATTGTCTATGCCCTGAGGGAGATTTGGAATGTTTATCAAATTGTCGAAAATAATGAATATGCTCATGGAAACAATTAAAGAAAAACAAATAGGTTAATTACCCGCTTCCCTTCCTCTTTATGTCTTCTATTTTCTTTCTCATTTATTCAACTATTCATTCTGTGTTTTGTTTAAACTTTAAACTCGTTATATTAAGCCAAGGGCAATATCAAACCTCGATTGAATACCAACAAACGAAACGCCAAAAGATAACACCCAAATCGAATTTTGTTTTAATGCTGGGCAGAAAGGGCAGTCCTATGATCAAGGATGACTTTATAATTTCATAAAGAGCAGTGCAAAGGGTCAATCAATAAGCGAATTGAGACAATGACTACAATCAGAACGTCCATTACCAAAGAAAACTGAGCGATGATTTATTTTCCAACCGGAAATGAGTTGTGTGAAAGAGTATGAAGAGTCTTGATCCGATTTTAGGATCCCTAGTCATGAGGCCTTGGGATAAAAATCTAATAACGCAGATGGGTCAGGACATCGTTGGCCAAACCGAATTATCCCAGTCTTGCCAAGAGATACAGTATTTGAAGAGACCTCTAAAGGAGCCTCGATTTTTCAAATGCAATATGAACGGATGTGAATTCACACGAAGACAGGCAAGATAATTAGCTCGACCCTTGTGCTTAAGCCAGTTTTTGTAAGTGCCAGTTCTATCGAGACACTTTATTAAATTGTGTGCGCCTAGGGTGGGACTAATACCTTAGTCACACCGTCAAACCAACTCCAAACCGACCGAATTTTCGTCATTTTAAATGACATTTGGTGTAAATCTTTTGTTCGGTCTGGTGACGGTCTCCTCAGTTTCCCAGGGGAACAAAGGACGGACGAAAGAGAGAAGTGTGGAGTGGCGTTTTTGAGGTTGTCAGTAGGTGTTTTGGAGGTTATTGTGTGTGTGTATGGGGGGGGGGGGGGGGGGGGAGGGGAGGGGTGGATGTAGGGAAGGGCGTGAGTAAGCTGGTAAGATACTCAAAAAGAGTATATTCTGTCCATATATATTTGTTGTTCATGATCAATACTATTTATTGTGATCAACGAAACAACTAAATGGTCTTGGTGATGTCTTTGCGGCATATTTGACACACTGGCCACAGGCCGCAATAACGGACACGTGAGGTAACATCATACAACAATATGACACGAGTGTTTAGTTTAAACGAATGAACGAAGCAAAGGCATATAATACGTGCTTACCAAAGTTTGTTCGAACACTCTCTAGCATGTCTATGGTCCAGTAAATGTTTAATCAATCAGAAATAGTGCATATGTCCCTACATCTTTTCAATTATCTCGAGCAGAATAAGTAGATACGTAAAATTAAAAATAAATAAAACAGTGCCTTTGAATATCATCAAATTTATGAATCTGTTTACGCTCTTGGAATGGTGCTACGCACACAAGTTTGTTCTTATATACACGGTGTCCAGTATCACCTTAGGATTGTCATAAGACTAAGACAAATCGAAGAGGGCCTAATTCAAGTATATTTATCTATCTATGGGAGACACGTGTTCTTTGATTCTCTGTGTTGACCTAAGTGCAAAGAACAGCATAAGTTATGCGTGTTCAGTTCTGTCGCGACAAACTTTTCAGCGGGAGAATATCCCTTATAGCGTGTACTATAATCCCAAACACCCTCAATTGGTAACGCGAGAAGCCATTTGATGAAGAATTCACACAGAGGCGATTTCTAAAGGGTTATTTCGGGCAATTACGACCTACGGTGCTCATTTATCATTGCGCATTGATTTTCATGTGCCCCATAATTTACAAGTAATGATTCGATAAGCAGCTCTTCGTTACGAGGCAATTGATTCGAATTGTTCACCGGTATAGGCTATATTAGAAGGTTGAATGACATCCGCAGTAAAGGTCACCTGGCCTGCACGAAGCACCGTGCATGCAGGACGGGAGCTTTGTGAGAACACATGTGGGTACATTTCAGTTTCAGATATGAACACACAGCTCAACGGCCCGAATTCACAAAGCAAGGTTTGAGCTCAAACCTCCTTTTGTTTCGCCAAACCTCCTTTTGTTCTTTACAAACCAGGTTTGTAAAAAACGCGTAAAACGCGTCATATGACGTACGAAAACCAAGGTTTGACGACAAACCTCCTTCGTGAATTCGGGCCGATATGTTCACAAGATAGTCCAAGTGACCCCGCACTCCTTTCCACTCTGTACAGCCATGGTCGAAACATAATTTTAATTGATTTTAATTTACGCATGGCGTCGACGAACTTAAAACATGATGATGGATAGGCCTATACGTACACGAACATATAAACGATATGATTTGGGATAAGACCTAACCATTTGCGGGAAAAAATAATGTTGGATATAATATCTAAACAAATCTTAAAGAAAAATGGATGTTCGACATGCTGAATGAAACAGTTAACAAATTAAATTGAATAAATGAGAAAAATAAGAGCTACACAAATTACTATTCTGAACCGATAAACCATGTATATGATTCAGCCGCATTAAAATACTCTTAACTGAATCAGAGTTTTATTGATCTATAATTTGACGTGAATTGCTACAATTACTTGATATTAACTTGATAATGTATATTTTTGGAAAGGAAATCCTGCCATTAAAAGAGCAATTTCGCCCTCGATATAATCAATTGACGGTGGAAAACAAATCTGACTGATTACCCATTAAACAGGAGACTCAATTTACCTTCT